ACCGGTTTAGTAACGATACAAAACCCTCAAATGGTTTCTCAAATGTGCTACTATACCCTTTTGGGTTTAGAAACAGGAATGAAAAACCGTTTGGGTTTTTTAAACTGCCTATTTTTTTTAGAGAGTAGTGCCAATATGTTGACAAGGCTCGATTCACTGGATGCTCCTCTTCAAAAGTATACGTCCAGTTTTTTGAAATTTTGTTTCGTTCCTCAGAAAATTCATTTTTTCTAAATTAGAGACGAAAAGGTCGGAATTCTACCCGTAATTCTCAATTTTCTCGATCAGAACTCAAGTTTGGAGCTATAAAAATATCATATTCGGAATCATGATAAAAAACTGAGTCGGCTGATGTATATTTCGAAATCTTCAGTTCAATTTCATTTTTTCGTAAAAATCTCGCTAACTTTTCAACGTGAAAGTTCGAAAAAAATGAAATTGAACTAAAGATTTCGAAATATACATCAGCCGCGTTGTGTGGCACCCACATGCAGATGTGTGCCCTCCGGTTTGCGTTGTGAGAGAATACAAGAGTTTTAAAAAGGAGGGGCCCGCTTTTCATTGATTTTGGCCCACTGCTTTTCCGACCTAGTCTTGATCACATTTTGTAGAGAAAACGATTTTACACATTTTGATGTGTATATGTACTATTATAACCTTATGGTGACTTTTTAAATTAACTTTTCTGAGAAGATACATAAAACATATCGATGCTTAGCAAAAACGATTTTGTTCGAAATCTAGTACTAAGTTATCCTAAAGCTTGATACAGAAAAATAGCTCTTCCAAAACTCTACACTATTCCAATTAAACAGATCCTACATATCACTGGCTCAATCCTTTATAGGTCAAATATGAGCCCAATGATCCCTAAAAGTCAATACAATTGATGTTTTAGCCGTTTCACTCCCATAAATGAGAGAGGATGCAACTAGTCTTTAGTACAGAAAAATAGCTCTTGAAAAGCTCTACAATATTCCGATTAAACAAACCCTACATATCATTGGCTCAATCCTTTACAGGTCAAATGTGAGCCCAATGACCCGTAAAAGTCAGGACTTGGTCAGGACCTAAGACATAAGCCTTATAAAATGATTCGTGCTGCCGATTTTCTTTGCATTTTTGGTCGCTATGAACGTTACTTTGCCGGATATGTGTCCGCGTACGCTGCCTGTGTCGACATGGATACTCTATGGCGTGTTTTCTTATATCTATGTCAGATAAGCGAACTGAATGAAATTATTCAAAAGCATCTCCTCCTGAAAGTAAATGAACGCATTTTCAGCGTCAATCATACAAATTTTTTCGATTACGCACAGTTAGCCGATAGGACCATGGAAAAGATGAAGGAAGAGAAACGTCTTCTCTTCGGAAAAGTCTATATGGTTATTTTCAACACTTCCATTACACAACAGCTGACAGATGAGCGACATCGATATCTATATTATGAATCAGATTTCGAAAGATTGCTGAAGATCCTTATCCGATCCTCATTATCAATGAAAGATGCGTCACAAGAACCTTGTTTCTCATTGATCATTCAAAATTTTGTATTCTTGAGCGATAAAGATTACAGCAATTCAGAAGAAAAACTGAAGAATTTAGTTCGCAAGCTGAATCGGATTTGATAAAGAAATTCTCGGTTCGATCGATCCGAAAGATGTTATCCGTAACGATTGGATTCAAGGCTCCCTGTTGTTCCATGATCCTCAAGACTTCGTGAATAAGTTAGATACTGATTTTTATCGAGATCTATGTGAAAGGAGTGTGAGAAATCCATGGGTTATCTACGCTTGGGACCAAATCCTTCATTTGAGTTTTATGAAACCAGCATTTGACAATGCCAAAGAAGTTCTGGAGAAACTGAATGAGTGGATGAAAATCGTTAAACATGATCGATATGACGAAAATGATAGATTTATCATTATTTTAATCAATCATCTATTCAATCAAGTGATTTCACGACATTCTAAATTGACTTGGTCACTGCCAAAGATTGAGAACATTATGGATTTTATCCTTTCATTGCGAAAACAAAACGATGAAATGGTCCATTTCGTTCAACAAGTAGAACGGTCGATCAAAAATGTTCTAAAACTACAAGGTAAGCTTTAAAACATGATGTAACACATAATGAATGTCTCTTTACATTGTTAGAACCCTGTTCGGTGTACGTTGATCCGTCGCAGGAATCTATCGTTGACTGTTTTGTTGCAGATTGTGATCTTAAGTCAATTGTAGACTCCGTGAATCCACAGGCCTTCAAATTTCCTCTAGTTCCAGCAAATTTGGTGTCACTACTACGCTCAGCACCCGAAGACATAAATACGAACATTAATGAGTCTCGTGTTACCTACTATCATCAATTTCTCGATAAAACCAATGCTTGGATGAAATGGTGTGATGAAATGACAACAGTTCTCATTCATATTGTCTATTGGCTGAAAAGTTTTCAAATCGAAAATGCAATATCATTGTACGCACATTTATATCGAACGAGAGATAAGTCAAAGGTAACGATTGCAGAGATGATAATACTTGTGCAAAAGACTTTTGCACTTGTTCAACCGTTCAAAGATCTCCGAAGACTTTGTAGTATGATGAATTGTTTAATTTCATTTCAAGTTCTCAATCTGGCAACGATCAATCAAGAACATTCATCTTCGAAATTTATTGGACAAGTAAAGCGATCTCATCCAAATAATTTCTTCAAGATTCTGGCTGAACAAAACTCTTAAAATAAAACTATTAAAATTCAAGAACGTCAACGCATTCAATGGTTCATCGCCAGCGAAAGATTAGAAATCAATGTAAAAATTACATTTACTCCAGACGATAAGCCTGGAAAACTGGAAGTGTTGTTTCTGGGCGATAAAGTTGCTGTTGATAAACACACGATGGAAGGTGAATTTGGAACTTTGAACAGTGGAATGTTGACAATAGAGGTGAAGAACGAACAAGGACGAGCTGAGCGAACAGTTTGGTTTCGTGTGAAACAAACGTCATTATCGAAATCTCATCTTTTCGAGGGAATTTTCAATATCATTTATTCGTCATCATGCGGTGCACACGGTCGTCTTGTTTCTGAAAAAGACATGGCCACAGTTTTGGAGCGAGTTTTCCACTTTACTGATAGTCTTTTGGATGGACAAATGAAATTAAAGGATATGGTCGATTTGAAAGCGATTTTTTGTAACAGAAATATCAATGTTCGTGATGAAGTCAAAAAGTTATTTTCTCATCGTTTCAAAGCCAATAATCAACAAGGAGAGGTAGTCATCGCTGAAGCTACAGAACAAGACATCGAATAAGTCTGTGAATGGTTGCAGATTTATCAATATTACAGTTATATCAGCATCATTATCACTTGTGTACAGAAATTCAACATTATTTCTAATGAAAATGCTGATCAAACGATAGATGCAATCAAAAACTTGAGCGATGAAAACTGTTCACTCAAAGACATCACTGAAAATTATCGAAATCTCAAACAACGATTTCGAAATTTAACCACTCAACATTTACAATTGATTAAAACAGCATCTGAATGTCCGAATGTTATTCAAATGATGGAACGAGCCGAGTTACATACAACTCATGGACGACGTCGATTTCAAGAACTAAGAGATAATTTAACAACACAGTTTCAACTTCAGGAAAGAAACAATATGATCCTCAATTCGTGGATCATCATCTACGGACTTTGCAAACCTTTTACAATGAAAGTACAAACTCTTGAAGAGTTTGTTGATATAGCCAAATTACCTTATTTCGAAGATATTCCTGTAACACATATGCAAAGTAAGAAATTCATCTACGTACATAGAAGAAATTATTTCATCGCTTATCGTTTTCAGTTATCAATGATAACATTCAACTTGTCAATATGTGGCTATCGGCTGATGAAACTAATGTATTGGATAACGCTTTGATAACTATGGAATATCTTTCTCGAAGTGGTGTTGTTCATATTCACTTAAGACGTTTGATCAATGAAGAATCAAAATTTGAAATCGAATATTCGATCGACAAACCTCAAACATTGATCAAAGATGATCTTGAAAATCCAATCGATGAAAATGCAGAACCAGAGAAAATCAAATTTATCTTAACGAAATCGGAAGTCGATGATCATAAACGTCAGTTAACATTTTGTAATGCCAATCTTTCTGAGGAGATGAAGTCGAAGAAAATTTTATTAAATGAACAACTGAAACTGTTGACCACAGTCAATAACATCTATTTGAAGATGATTCAATTGGAAATGGCTGGTCATCCAGATTATCAATTGAAGCAAGAAACCCTTCAATTGTCCGATCGGACAGGTGAAATTAGTCGAATTTTATCCCGAATGAAAGATAATCAAAATGAAGAAATCGGCATTTTGAAAAGACTCGTTGAAAGACAAACAGATCAACTTCGTTTGATCCACCAGCAAATGGAAATCAGTTACAAACTTTGCCTACAACATTTGGACGAATATCGAACGTTGACCCGTCTATTACAATTATTTTCCAATCGCCAATTGATGATTTTGATCATTCTCTTAACCAAATCAACACCAGATAATCGAATGAAATGGAATTTCCTGAAAAAATTACATTTAAAAACCGATATGAATTTCACCGATGATCGAGAACTTCAACTAACAATTCAATCGTTGGGACATTACTTACGTTCGTTGCGTCTGTCAGATTGTGATATATCGGTGGTGAATATCCAACGATTGTATGACAAACATAAAATACCATCACGATCTACTGGTGAATACTGTTTACAAAAATTATCGGCATTTTTAAAAGAACTTCTTAATGATGGAAAAGAATTATTTGTTGAAAGAACATTAATCAATGGAAATCAACAGTATCTCGTCACGTTGACTCACATAGATCAACCAGCTGAACCAAATCCACTCGATCATGATCTCGATATGGAAATATTTTCAATTCTTGTGAATATTCTAAATCCTCGTTTACCATCATCGTTTCAAATCCTTTAGTGTTCTCATACAACAGAAGATGATATTCATTTATTCTTCATTCGTATTCAAACATTTTATCATTTGTCATTTGCGATTATCGATATTGACAAAATGCATCATCGACTGAGAGAAATGTTGTTCAATGAACAGGAGACATTGACAAGATCGGAGCGACCTCACCTCATGGTGAAGTTTATTATTTCTTGAGAGAATTAACTTCAAGAAAAGGTTTACGTCCGTATCTCATAACGCCACAAATACGAAATTCAACGATGGCTAACAGTAAACTGAACGAATTATTTCAGAGGAACAATTTAATCAAACCACGACTACGTGTGATCTGTGGAAAGGCTGGTATTGGTAAGTTGAATAAACTCATTTTTCTCAGCATATAATAATTAATCATCTTTGATTTTCTCTAGGAAAAACTCATCAGATCAACACGCAATACAAAACTCAACAAACTTTATCTATGAGCATCAATGATCGATTGAATTTGACAACGTTAATCAACGCATTACTCTCGTTCGAACCAACAGAAAAGGGTCAAGAGCCCACAGTTTATTTCAACATTTCGATTCACGCTCCATTTGTTGAACTCAATCGCGCATTCTGTTCGTTGCTCGTTTGTGGTACATTGACGGATACAGACAGTGGTTTAGCATTTTCATTACCGAATGATCATCAGTGGACATTCATTATCGAAATTCCTCATTTAGATAAATACAATCGAACTATTAGTGAGAATTTCAATCGAATTCTTCCAGTGCTATCGTTGTTGAATTCGAGTAAATTTGAAGAAGTTACTGAAACCAATTACAAACTCTATATTAGTAATCAAGAGGATTGTGGCTCGATTCCTGAAAGCGTATGAAGATCGAACGATCAATCGACTTTACGTTGAAACAAGTCCAGAAAGAGACACTGGATTGCAATTTGCTCGGTTGGTTGCCGAAGATGAATGTCGTCGTCAGATTTATCATTGTATGGAAAGAAATGCACCGGCGTTACTACGAAATAAAATATCTGAACTTTCATTTGTCAAGTTTTTGTATCGGCGAGTTCGATTTTTTACTGATTCAGGTTTTTATCGTTTCAACGATAATGATGCATACCTTGACTCAAAAGCGATGGAACAAATGATAGAAGAAGCGAAAAATCTTTCTCAAATGAATTTTCAAGGAACCGATTATCCTCAAATATTCCTTGTTTATGATTTTGATTTTTCACTTTATTTGCTGCACACAAACTGGAATCAAGTGTCTCAAAATCTGAAAGAGATTTTCAAGCGAGAAGATCCAGCGAAACGAGACGATTTCCAAGGAAAATATTATTTTGTCAAATGTTTATCTTGGCTTCTCGATATTGGATACGACGGTTTTATGGATGTCATGAACGAAACCAAGTTTATTCTCACTGAAAACTTCACCTATAAACTGTTTCATGTTCATGAAAGAAAATTGACGAAACTTCCCTTGATTATTGAAGGTCATACGGATGTTGGAAAAACATTTCTATTGAAATTTTATTCGATGCTACTTAATGTGAAGCTTACGAAGGACTCACTTGAGCGGAAGATTTCGCCACGTATTCGAGAACGAATGTCTGTGTGGTTACGTAAGACGGTGATTGAAGATATCTTGGAGAAAAATCCCAATCTATTCAATACAATATTGAAGAAAATCAAACCGAAATTACTCGAAACCAATGAAAATTAATCAAGCACAAATTAACCTTCCATTTCAAGACCAGGACTTAGATGAAGAGGCAGATGATGCCAATGTGATCGAAGAAGAAGATGGTCAGTTGATGGAACGAATAGATGACGAATGTCTGAAAAATATCAAATCATCACTTTCAAGTCATAAATACGATAACGGGACATTGAGATTTATTTGGACGACGATTATCAATATTACTCACGACACGACGTTGGACACATGTCACATTTTAAATAAATTACTTTACGAACACATCACATTTCATATCACTCATTTTCCTTTGATAGAAATGAGCCATCAACTTGGACCGTTACTCGATCCGAATAATCTCAAAGAATCACCTAAAAAATCCATCAAGTTATTTGATGAATATCTAATTCATACAAATACAAAATCATTATTCTATCGCCTTCTTCTTCATCCAGGAATCACAGACGAACAGTTAGAAGATTTTATGAAACCAATATGTCAAATAGCTAGGGAATTGCCCGATGTTGAATTAGTCGTGTTCTTCGACGAGGTGAACACTTCATCGTGTCTTGGATTATTTAGAGAAATGTTTATGGATAGTAATTACTCTACATGGAAATAATTTAAGTTACCTACGAATATCTTTTTCACTGCTGCAATCAATACGTCGTCGACAAAAACGGATGATGAAAAAGTGGTCCACCGCAGTGATTACCTTGTTCATCAATTACCACAAGCCTTGGAACATTCGAAAATTTCATACAGCACATTAGAATCGGATGCATTGAAGGATTATATCACTCAGAAAATCACCACTTTTTCCCTTCCAGGAAGAGAAACAACACCACTCGATTCGTTCATTCAAGAAAAGCTCACCGAATATATCTTAAAAGCCCAAGAATTCTGCGAAGAGTTTCGAGGAAAAAATTCTGTTTCTCAAAGAGAAATTCAATGATGTTTTAATCTAATCGAATTCTTCTGGCAGATGAGATTCAATGATGAAACTGCTGAACCTAATGTAACACGTTGCATTGGATTGGCATTAGCTTTGACCTATTACTTCGACTTCCGACCAAAGAAGATAATGATCAGCGAAATGATCAGAAAACTCCACCGCGTGAAAATCTCGCGAATATTCTATCGCGGAAAATTCCAGATTTTGTCGATATCATAGAAAGGGAGTTGGAGAACTTTGTCAATCCAAGTAATTTCCTGATCCCTCAAGGTGTTGCCATTAATCAAGCGGTCAGTACTTTACTGCATTTTCTAATTATCTGAGCTGAGGCGTTGTGTATTTAGGTTCGTGAACATATCTTCGGTATTGTGGTTAGTATTGTCACTAAAACACTTTTGTGCATCATCGGTGCTCCAGGTTAGTAGAAGAAATGATAACCTATTAATTATTCCTTGTTTTTGTCTTTAGGCCAATCGAAAACACTCTCGTTTCAAATTGTTCTGCAGAATTTGCAAGGTCCACAATTATCGAACACAGTATTTTGCAAAAGATTACCGGCCCTCGATCCTTTCTTTTGTTTGGGCTCGAAATACGCTCGATCAGAAGAAAATGGTTTTGAAAGTATTGCAGTCCTATTTGGATGAATGTAAAGTAGCGTTTGTTGCCGTTGCCAATACAGCGTTCGATGCAGCAAAAGCCAATCGAACGATTTGTATTTATCGATCTTTACCATCGAGACAGGATCAACATATTTTGGCCTATGGGTGCTTAGGTTTGCAAATCGACAATCAACAGCAACATGTGAACGATCGTTTGAAAAAAATCATTAATGGTCTGTGTCAAGGTTACCGTCGGTTGTTGAACAATAAAAGTATTCCATCAATTTATCATGATCGAGATTTCATTTATATGTTGCGTGAATTACGATTCGAATTAACGACCATAGCGGATGAACAGGAAACATGTGCCGATGGTATTACACCTCTGAGTCTTCTTCGTGCATTAGAAGAAAATTTCAATGGAATTTCAAAAGAAAAATTCGAAGAACTCCTTCAAATCTTTTTCAAAGCTGTCAAAGAAGAATGTTCAGATTTTGGATTACCGAATCAACGTCGAAACATACCAGCAATTCTTCATGAATCAATGAAATTGGACTCCGTTCGACGTCGACTCTATGGATGATACAAATTAATTATCGATGAATCGGAAGATGAAAGTGCTGTACGTTTATTGGCGCAGAGTGGCGTTCTTGATCTTGATCCAACTAAAATAGTTGTTTTTCGAATGTCCGATTTTCCAGACGATGTCAACAATGAATTACGAAACGTCGAGATCCTTTCAACGGTCAAATTATGTATAGAAACAGGCAAAACTATTCTAATGATCAATACTGGACTTATTCATGGTTCAATTTACGATGTTTTCAATCAAAATTTCTCGATCATGGCCACGGGTGATAACAGAAAAATCTGGTCGAAAGTTGCCATCGGACCAAAGACGATCGATATTGTCGTCCATGAAGATTTTCAATGTATTGTTCATATCAACCGTAGTGAATTCAAAGAGATTCCAGCTCCATTTCTAAGTCGATTTCAGAAATATTCGTTATCGATTAAAGACTTCTATCAAATCTGTTGGGTCAAACTTCCCATCGAAGAACAGAAACTTATGGAAAATGTTGAAGGAAAAGCTCAATCATTTATCGAACATGTTGGTCAACAATACTTCTATGGTCTAACTTCAAATACACTTTATTCGTGCTTATTTGGATTGATCGAGAAAAATGATGAAGAAGACCGGTACTATCTCAACATTCATCAACAATACACACAATTGACAATCAAATCAAAATCTCTGATTGAATAGAATCCAACCAATATTTTTCAATGTCTTTTACGTTCAACTCTATCGAAATTGATGCAATTAGTTCCTCCCGAATTCATTATTCTCAAATTACCAACATTCGAAGATCAAATATCACGATGGATCTGTACTAATTATTATCAAAATCAAGAACATTTCAGTCTGGAGAATTTTCTTCGAACTCTAAACACAACTCCAATATCTTCGATGAACATTTTCGATTTGGAGAATGTTGACGATCAACAAAGGAAACATTACGTTCGACAACTAAAGTAATGATATTTACACGAACGTCGTCCCATATCACCGGTCTCAATCAACAAACTAAACGTGAATTCTTTTCGTCGCTCAATGAAGATGATTTGTGTCTCTTCAGTGATAAAATTTATATCCTCAATCTGGTACGTGTTTGAATAATCTTTGTTAATCATATAAAAGATGTGTTTACTTTTAGTCGATCATTGAAAATTCTACTGAATTTGAAGAACAATTTGCAAAATACGAAAACGATGCTGAGAAAAATTTGCTGTTGATTGTGATCAATGGTCGCGCCAATCAACAACGTTTGCACATTCCCTACGTTCGACAGTTAGTTGAAAAAGTTGATTATCGATGTAACGCACAAAAAGAAGATAATTTTAAACATTTTCTTCTGCTCGTCCATTCACCAGCACAAACAATTTATCACCAACCATCGTTTACAGCGATATTTCTCCATAATTGGGATTTTCATTTCTTCGATACGTGTTCATCGAATAATTCATTTTACATAAAGAATTTTCTTCAGATTCTCACCTCATCATACGATCACACAGTAAATCAAGACGATAATCAAATACTTTTTGATTACAATGCTCTGTTTGACGATTGTCTTTGGGATTTCTATTCGCGAATTCAAATTGCTGTTCAACAATTACCACGAGAATTATTCGCCGATCGACTTGCTTACGAATTTTATCAACGTCAAACGGGTACATTTCGACGCGTCCAATGTTTGAAGAAATTCTTAAACAATGCACCGAGTTACAGAAACGAATTGTCAACAAATATCAAAGTTATTTATCAATGAAAAAAAATGCATCGAAGAAAATTTATACATAGATCTACCAACTTTCCAAAGATATTCTTTGTGGAAAACGTTTTGATGGTCTTGTCGATTCAATTCAATCTCAAACTCGACTTTCATTTACCAATTTCATATGTAATATATTAAAATGTGTCGTCACTGATTATGGATTAGAAACTTTACCCAAACTTTCGAATATCAACGATGGTTATGATACAATGTTGAATCTAATCGATCATCATATATCAACATTAAATGACGAAGAGAACGAATTACTTTCAAATAACACTCAAACTGTTTTTCAATTAGTGACACATTATGCATGTATTCCTCAAGCACCACTCTACCATCCTTTTCATCAACGAATCAAATCTTATTCAGATGAAATAAAAATGAAATTCATTCAAAAAACAGCCGAGCAAAAGCGTAAGTCAAACAAAAGGTTTAACAAAGCATTGAATTTTCTTTATTTAGGCAACGATGATGACGATGATGAGATGAATAAGGCGAACAAAAACGAACATAACATCGAAGAATTTCGATTTGAATTGATCAAATCCATTGAAAAAGATCAAATTTTGGTGAAAATTGTCGATTTCGTTATTTACAAAGTCAACTGGATGAAATACGGAGCAAAGAGAAATTAGAACCTCCCGCGGATGGTAAGTGTGTGGATCATTTATTTCACCTTCTAAGAGCACCCTTCATGAAAGAAACGGTCATTTGTTGATTCTCAGAAAAAGAAAGAAGTCGTAAAAGATACTTCTGTTTCAAATCAATTTGCTTACCGTTCTACTGACGCAAATAAATAAATTTCAGTCTTTTGTTCAAGTTCTTCGCGTTACCAATAGAGGAAATTTGTTACTACTCTGAAGGATTCTACTTGCATAAGCACAATACCCCAGTTTTTGCACCGCAGACTTAAAGCCTTGTCAGTATTATTTTGAAGTCATAGGAGAGCGAAAGTAATATTTAAAAATCAACGAAGTTATGCTTTCACCTTTGGATTAAAAACAAGGAGATTTCTTTGACCTAGATACGATGGATGATGATGTTTATGATGATGAGACTATCAACCACGAGAACGATGATGAAGAACAATTCCAAATTCAAACGGGTGAAAGTGACAACAACTACGTCCTCGTTAATACTCGCATTGATTATCAGTATCGGTCTGATATTCTCAACGGCATGTGTTTATACAGCTTTGTTAGCTCATTATATAAGAAGAAAATCAATGCAGCGGATCGGAAATATCCAGCCAGGATTGCAGTACCCAGTGATGAAACTGTTCATCACAAAGGCCACCCACCCAACAAACGTTATTCATTTCAAAAACAGCATCCGCAAGCATCGACACATCTCTTAGTCGAACATAGCCAGTCTCGCGTACCTGTTCTCTATGGCCCTCAAATTCCGCGACAGGATCGCGATGATACTCAAGAACGATATAACCGTGCTCTTCTCACACTTTTCGTCCCTTGGCGTAACGTTTCGATCTTTGCAGCAGCGGTCAGACATGGCAAGATGCGCTTCAAGCCTCGCAAGCTCTTATCTCCACGCCCTCCAGGAAGATAATCGAAAATATTCAGCTTCTACATGAATGGAAAAAAGATCGTGATGAACATTTGCTTCAAGTTATCGCGGAAGCTCAAGCCGACAATGGATCGATTGATCCAATGGTTTTGCCAGCTAATCCAACCGTTCATGGCGAATATGCTATGGACAATAGCGATGAATTGCTTGAGCTGTTAGGCAGTTTAGACGAGTACACAACTGCTGCAGCCAATGCCTCCAAAAAATCCACAGAGAGTATATACATAGAAGAAACAATCGAAGCTGTTGAGAACGTTGGCCGCTTCACCGACATGCATGGTGAGTCATTTTCTTAAAGACATGACCAAGAATGAAATTTCATTTTAGCTCATGAATTACGTACTTTGAATGAAGAAACTCCTCATGTGGGCCAACAGCTCGCGCCATTTGTTTCAGCAACATCCGAGCATGTTCGCCTTAATGCACAGTGGCAAGAACAGCTGAAATCTGAGAGAGAGCGAGTTAGACGAAGTTTGATCACAGGCAACTATGGCAAAGAAGATAATACGTTGGATTTACATGCAGTACAGAATGCCGTTGTAACTGTGGCAGATTCAAATAATCATGATACAAATGAATTTCAAAATCACGGTTCAATACTTCCAGTAGCTTCAGTCGCAACTCAATTTCCTTCCCAGAAAAGCGTCGCTGATGAATTTACACTGAACAGAGAACAACGAGCAGCATTCATGATAATCACCAGTCATCTTGATGGTGATAGCCGATCTCGCACAGGTATCTCTGCAGAAGTCACACTGATTTAATAAAACATCAAACTCTTCTAGGTCGGAATAATGGACAGCTGATCATGTGCATTCCTGGATATGGTGGTACAGGAAAATCGCAACTCATTCGTGCTCTCAGTAGATACTTCTTCATTACGAAAAGAATGCAAACCATGCGAAAGCTTGCACCCACCGGTATCGCCGCTGCTGAGATAGATGGAATGATGATTCATTCATTTTTGGGCTATATCTATTAATCGATGAGATGAGTATGGTTGGCTTAACTTTACTTGCGAAACTCAACCGAATCATTTGCGCTACTACGACCCAAAACTCGAAACGACTTGAAAAATAATACAGAATCCAAATCAGTTGATAAAAGTAATGCACTAATATGATCTCCCCCGTGATAAACAATTCAATGAAATAAAAAAATAGTGTAAAAGTAATAAAACTATAGATAGAATTACGATAGAAATCATTCAGATAAGAAAAGGATGATCTTTTGAAGATTTACGGATATTAACAAGTAACGTTCATCGACTTCTGATTCACTCGTCTCTAGACTGAAGTTTCATACTTCCTTTTGTTCAGTGCTTGCACTAAGATTGGCAGTATATCTTCCTCGTGTTTATTCACACTTTGACAGACTTCTGCTCTATTTCTGGATAGCAAATTGTCTTCTATGACAGGATGATGTCAGTGAGTCGAGAAGCTATGCGAGCTTGATCGCTCTTCCTTCACTGTTTGTGAGATCGGCGAGAGATTTCGAGTCTCAAACGATCTACATCAGCACCCACTGTGTAACCTGCTCTCACGATCATGAAAACCTCTTCGAACGGTGTACGCTACTGCATCCCGACCTGAGAAACATGAAGACGCTGAGACACCTATCACCCATTGAAATAAAACCAACGATCAATCAAGGGATGGATTGAGGTCTCAAGACCGTATTCTCCACAGACAGAGAGGCAATGAAGTCCAATGAGTCACAGCACTCGATCGTCGAGCGAGCAAGAGAGAAAAAGGCGCAAAAGCGATCAATCATCACGGAAGAAAGAGAGATTCTGCTTGATCTGACGTGATATAAAAACCGTCACTCTGAATCAACCGACAACAGAATTCACTGTGGTGGTCTTAAAAACGGGTAACAGACAGACAGACAGACAAAATACATATTTACCGTTTGACAGACCCTATACTTTCAGTCTAGGGAATAAGCAACTAATAGAAATGTTATTTTGAAGAAAGATAATTTTGAGGAATAATCGGATATTTCGATCTTTTATTGAATATTAGTATTCCCAATACGAGTATTCGTATTGATGTTGATCTCAAAAATTAACAGCGACAAATTCAAGTCAGAAAAAATATTTTAGAGCTTTTCGAAATATCAATATCGATTGGATAAGGAAAAGTTTTTGTTAAAAGATAGAAAATCTACAAGGTGAGAACTGTTCATGTTCTTGTTTGATTGTCTGCCATTGTTCTATCAATCCAAACCATAGTTGTTGAATAGAAGCCAACACGATCAATGTATACATTCATGGATAATTGTCGTATTTCTTGTTCTAACTGTGAAATATCAATACCACGAGCGGATCCTTCCAAAAGAAAATCTGCACGTATTAATTTTGATAGATACTCTAAGATAAAAAATATCTGATCTTTGTCACCGATTCCACATTGCAAATATTCAACATTGGAAAATACTTGACAAAACTTTTCTAAAATGGTACGATTAATCATGAAATACGATGGATTTGTAACATCTAATTGGTGAATCATTCGGTTGAAATATTGACACAATTCATTATCATTCCACAACGATTGGAGTAGATCTGAAGTTATAGTCAATGATGATAATCGTGGAGTTCCTTTCAGTATTTCTAACAGTACTGATGAACTTTTTAATTTACGAACATGTGACATATCTAAATGTCTTACATTAGAGAAATAACTGATCATCGGTTCTATTTTGTTCGTTGTAAGCAATTCAAACCATGTCTCTTGACTGGGAAGGCCTTCATAAGAAAGATAATCATCATATATTACTGTCTTATCAGTATGAATTGATAATTCTGTTACATTATTAAATATATCTCTGTCGTTTACTGCCATATTGCAATATCTTTTCATACTCGAGTGTAAGTAGAATGTAGAAAATTCATAGGGCACGGTATAGACCATGGCTTTATCGTATGATAATATATATTCAGTCATCCAATTATGTTCGATACACCAAAAATCACTTTGAAATTCTTTGCAGTTTTCTTCCGTAAATGTTTCGTTCTCTGCGTCATAATACTTAAAACAAAACTTGAACACCTTCAAAGAAGGTAAGTAAGTTTTTATTAAACATTCCCATTGCTGAGCAGTCGGTTGACGGCCGTTAGAATTGGTAGATAATGTCAAATATTCTAAATTTGGTATGTATTTGACTATCATTTCGATTTCATAATACTCCGAACTTTCAATAATCAAGTGTTGAAGAGAATGAGTAAAGTGGAAGTCTTCATCCTCGAAGTCGGGTATAAATCCCGATACGCTATTGATCTGTAGATATTTCAGCGTAGGTATATCATTCAATACTCGAAGTAAATCGTTCTTAACGCAGTGATGAATAGTTAAACTTGTTAGCGATGAAAATCTATCCCAATATTTTAATTTTCCACGAAAATTGCACACCGATAATATTCGTATTCCAGAGGATGGTAATGTATCGGGCAAGAAAAATCTGTTATCATTCATACGAAAACATGTTAATGAAGACATCGAGCACAGCATGGCAAATAATTCGTCCGAATTCGTCACATTAACGTCGGTTAAAGTTAATGATCGTAAATTTGGAAAATCAAGCAGCGAAAACATTTCACAAAAGAATGGAATACAAAGACCAGAATCTTTGTTGGATAAATGCAATGAATAAATGTATTCCTTCATTCGAGCATCAAGTAACATTTCTTGACAAAATCGTTGACATAGCGCTTGCGGGAAATATTGAAAATCGAGATGTAATGGAATATATCGGATGAGAGTATTGAATCGAGAATTTAATCGATCGAATGAATCAAAGATTTGTAAAGCATTGAGATATCGAAAAGATTTCATTAGAATTTCATTGGGTAAATGTTGAAATTTGGTCACTGTTTGATTGTCACTCATCATGTAGCTGTGGAAGACTTTTTTAAATGTAGACGATAAAATGTTTTTTTTCTTTTCATTCCTTTCAAATGTTTTTTGTCGCTCTATATAGTCAGCGATGGATTGCACAACGCACAGCATTTATTTTGATTTAACCCTATTACGTTGTTTTTTTCCTCTTTACATTGAATGTCGTCATGTGTTTTTACCATCGCTTTTATTTTCTCATGTTTCGAAATGAGGGTGAGTCAAGCAAACTACAATCTGGATTTCGACCTTGCTTAAGGGTCTCATCAGGTAGTTATAACTCTGTGTAACTATCCAAATGATCTTCAGATCACAGATAAGTTACATAATCTACACAAATAGCGATAAATTCGCAAAGGAATATTATCGAAGTGAGTGGAGCAACTATGATGTTAACATTTCACTTGAGCAACCAAGATCTTCAGATGGTCTCGTTTCAATTTGAAAACCGAAACAGAGTTAATTCTAAACTGTTGCCAGAGGGTGAGGTGGGTGAGATTCAAGAGGGTTAGATTCCAAGCTACTTACGACGTTTCGTCCTTGCTTTAGGGACTCATCAGGCAAGTTCAGAATCGTCTAGAGTTGAAATATTAGAAACTCGATGACCGAATATGCTAACAAAATTTATAATATACTATAAAATATTATAAATGGCATTGTACTAGTTTGCATAATTTGAATGTATCATCAATCATGATGCATTT